TGTTTGTTGTTGTCTTGGACTCTTCACGAGGTTTTTAAATAACCTTTATTAGGCTGACGTTTCGTTGGAATCGCCTTCTTCAGAGCCTGAAAGGATCATAACAATCTGTGATTATCCGACCAAACGTCTCCACCAACCCACTAAGTTCGAGACCCCCAGGGTACGCAGGTGGTCAAAAGGAGAACCACTCACCGTAACTTTGTGGATTCTTCAAAACCACCCAACTAGCAGTGGTACCAACCGACCAGTGTCAGCGGCGGTACGTCTTCATTAAAGTCGGTGAGGGAAGGCCAATCTTATATAAGGCCGTAGCTCCCGCGTGATTGCGAGGCAGTCTTCCTTACGATTCATTTTGGGATCGGTGACCTGTATCCAAAATGCCTCGAGGGTTTTACGCGCACGCCTTGTGCGGCGGCGAGTCACCGCGCTGTCTGACTATTCTACTCGAAGAGCACAAAAGAGGCCCTGAGATGTTCTCAGAGCGTTTAAATACACCGAAAACATTACAGCAAAAGGAATCTCCATCTTGACATGACAAGAATGCATACATAGTCGCGATTGGTCGCGATTGATCGTGACACTGCGCCCGGAAGGGCGGCAGCTCAAAAAATAACGTCAAATTATCTCATCAACATATAACTTCTACACTAATAGTCAATAATCACTCAATCTACCGATATGTCACTTTAAATACGATATTCAATAAACAAAAGTGAACTACAAGTACCAACAATTGAAATGAGTCCATCATACGTCGAAGCTGTTGAACGGGCGGCGATTTCGATATTGTCGGTCGTGCATTGGCTCTCTGTCGACTGCCCCTTCCGTCCGCACAGTGGTGAAGTAGTCGAAATGTAGTTGATCGAGACGAGAATGCGAGTTAGAACGGGGAAACAGTCCTGACGAATCGAATACGTAGACGGAGATTGGTGGCGAGTAGCGCCGAATCTTCTCTAGAATATGAGACGAAGCCAGGTTGATGACTCATTGGCAGGGTGAGAAGTAGGAAGGTGACGGCGCGACGAGCAGACAGACAATACGGTGAAGCGGAAAGGGGGGGGGGTTATTGCAGAAGATGCGACCATGGAGATGTGCGCTGATTGCTGACGTAATCAGCGCACCGCTCCCCGCCTCAACAAACTTTCAAAACTTTCTTCGCTTAAACGAAGACGTTCCAAGAGAAGCTTTACCTGGGCAAATGAGCACATTGTGCTCTTTTCCGCAAAAACTACAAAGGATGCCACAATCTTCGCTGTGTTTTGGCTGTAAGCAGCGATTACACAGCTGTAAGTTGGTGACTTGAATTGCACGAGAAACTGCGTCTGGGAAACGGCAACAGCGTCCAGTTGGGTGATTGTCGCGGTTTTCCTCGACGGAACAGAAAACACAACTTGAATGCGGCATTGTTCCTTCCATGATCAGATCCAATTTTTTGTCGATGATATTATTCTGACGGCTGACGAGGTCCACCAGAGCTTCCATCTTAGCATCGAATGACATCACGAACACAGTAAGTTGTTCCTATAGTTTTTTGATAGCACAGATAGCGGCTCGATGTGTATGGCGACATCGACTTCGTCCATGTTTGCTGCGTCGGTAGCGGGGAAGATGGATTGGCGAGTTTTTCATGCTTAAGAATAATTGAGGGATATGTTGTCGTATTGTGTTGTAATGTTAGGGAGCTTTCAAGAAAAACACATACTGTATTATGTATGTAGAACTACAACTAGGAGAGTTTTCCGAGAACGCATCATGAGCTATCAGTGGCGTATGCAAATTGACGATAGTTGTTTTACAATTTTGAGAATAAGTAAGGAAATTTCGAAACAAAGTCTTAGAAAGCTCTTCAGACCTTTTGCTATTGCTTGGAGAAGGAGTAGTGATGCCGTGGGGCCAAAGAGGTAGGTTACTGCACATAACGTAGCTACTGCTCCAATGGTGACGAGAGATGCTTTCCGGTGTTTTCTTATTACCTTCAGTGTGGGACCGAGGTCTGACATTTGCCATTCTCGGAACCATGTTGTTGTATTCCATGTCGTCACATGAGAAACGAAAATTTCTTCATCACTCATGTGTGGCAAGTAAACGAGAGAACCTTCTAGGAGCAAGTGAATGGTGTGACTATTGCATTCTACGAAGCAACTTTGTCTCATTAACGCTTGCTGAAAGTCCAGAATGAGTGTGTTTGGCTTCCCAGAGGATTGCATTCGATTGAAAAAACATGGGTTTTGCATTGGATGATGTTCCATGTGTGTGTTGCTGTTGTGCAGGACGCGACTAGGTTTGCGCCTTCTTGGCAGTTATAACATCCCGCCAGCTTTGTCAATGAGGCGTTGCAATCTTGTTCGGTGACATACTCCGCGCTTTCTTGCATATATTTCGATTCTACCATTAAAGTCATTTCTTCTCTTCGAGAGTAAGCGATTACTGAATCTTTTCGTCTGATTATGCTGAGAAATGGGCTTGACTCGAGAAGAACGTTTGAAATGACACTCTTGATGGTGGCGATGTTGCTGGGTGGGCAGTAGCACCGTGCGGGAGCAGGCTCTGCGTCACATTGGCAAATTACTCTGCTTTGACAATGATGAAATTTGTTACTTGCCTCTTCGAATGTTTTGCATTCGACAGGCATGGTTTCAGTCCCTGGGATAATTAGGCCTTCGTGCTCAGATATTACGAATCTACTTTGTAACAGCGGACTTGACGGCGTCGACATGGATATCACTGTGAATGAAGTGTCATCTATTTTCTTGGTGACGTAAGGTCGGAGGGTTACTTGCTTCTTCATAGCCATGTCGTGCAGGATTAGTTGGACTTTTATTCGAACCAAGGACTTCCATCCCATGCACTCAGCGATTTCGTACACATAGCTGTTGCTGGGTACGTGGGCAATACGATAGAATGAACACGATGGAAGTGGTAAAAGGCATCCACATATAAGCCCTCCACATGAAGGTTTACAGCCCGTGTATCCCGAGTAAAGAGAGACATTTGCAAATTCTTCGACTCTGCTATCTGGCTTTATCATAGAACATGCGTCTTGCCTACAAGAACCCATCTGTGCACATCGAGTAGCGCTGTATACTTTGTGCTCGGTGTCACGTGTATAAAACAGAGTAAGTTTCGCGCATGCCAGTTCTAGTGGTAATTTTTCTATGCGAAGAATACCTACTGATTTATTGGCTTGTAGTATATCAATGCAAGCCATATTGTGGATCTCATCAAATAAAATTTCACGACGGAATTTGATTGCGCAGGTGTTCTGAGATGTACACGTGACCTCTGTATTGTGCATAGTGAATCCCAACTGACATGCATTTGCTTGTTCACGCAGCGCTGCGTAAACAATCACCGCGATCGCAGTTATGACGCTATTGCGAGAAAGTGGGAGCGGTCGGAACGACTGAAGCTGGATGTTTACCATTTCATCGTTCTTACGAATGGCAACTGTAGGATGCGAGCCTTTGTTGTCTTTGCCTGACTCCGATGATGTAACCGTTGCGCCAGAGTGAGAACCTTTGCGCACCAGCATTAATTTTACGGACAACGCTATTGCAGAAATCATCAGGTAAAGAAGCATTCCTATGGATGCAATTGCCCCTGTTGGCTAACAGTGAGGATTGCCCAACAGATGTTTGGACATGAAGATTTGTGATACGTCACATACATGAGGGAGACTGCAGTTCTTTTGCAGCTCAGTATATTTGTTGCCAGAAAAATGTCTCATTGATACTGTTACTACTCCATTGTTTGCAGTTGCGGGCAGTAGGAATGTGAGATTTGTTAAGCTATTCGCGAAATATCTGCAAGTTGACCGTATGCAGAGCTGGAAGGTGCCATTTGGTGGATTAACGTGAAGTGCTTTACCTTTGCATGAGATGTTCGGCAAAGTATACACTGATGGCCCCAGAAACAGAGCGGCAATCATGATGACCACTGCCACGTTGATGTGCGGGCATAATACAGGGGGTAGAGATCCATTAGAGTCGTCGGTGATCCTTGATAACTTCTGGATCGCATCCTTCGCTTTGATCTTTGCCAAACGCGGCTTGTTGCCTTCATTCATCTGGAGTTTTCGGACATTATGAGCAGCTTGTGGACTGTTGGGCGGAACCTTGTCGTTTTTTGCAGAAATTTCCAGCGGGTTGAGTTTATTTACAGGTCGTAGCCATACATGTTTGTTGGGCATCAACAGTTTAGCAGACCTCACGAGATTATCACAACCTCTCATTAGGTCAACAACTTTGCCATAACACCTTTTGGTAGATTTTCTTGTTCGACCAAGACAATCTCGCCAATTTGTGGTTCTCTCAGTTTCACATGTCGCGGTTGTTTTCTGGCCTGAATTTGTTGTTTTATAGCCTGAATTTCGCGAAGAGCTGTTAAATATTTTGTGTACCACCGATCCCAAAATTTCGAACTGACTTGTTCCGCATGCTGTATGGCCTCCTTAGCTTGGGCAGCTGTCTGAATGAGTTTGGGATCAAACGTGGGATCTGTGCCCTCCTCCTTGTCCATCTCAAATAAACTGTATTTCGGGTTGTTCTGCAAGAAACCGATTGGCCGCAAGGGGATATCATCCGTACTTGCATTGCTTATAGCCGTAAGTGGTCTGGTGTTGATTATGGCCTCAATTTGCGTCATGATGGTGTAGAGCTGTACGTGTGTCAATCTTTTCCGCCCGACGGATTTAGTGAAGGCACGTTTGACTGACCC